TGGTTGGGCTCATGCCCGCCCGCTTGCTGTGCTTGCTTTCTAATGGGAAATTGGCGCAAAGGCAATGGCTCTCTCGCCATGTACGTATACCCGATGCGGTAGAGTAGTATGGAGTGCAGGAGGGGTCTTGTCACGGCCATTCCGTTGGTGAAGTGGGGCGTGTTTCAACCCAGGCATCGTCGCTCCATCATGAATGCTTAATTTTCCCAAGCTGGCTGACTCGAATTCCCTGTTGTAGCAAATTGGTCGTGAGGAGTGCATTTGCAGCGTCAGCACCTGCTGGGCTTTCCGGTGACCGGGCACGAGTGTTGGTTAGCCATCGTGACTAACAGAAGCTAGGCGACCTAGTTTCTTGTACCTGCCTGACCCCAAGACCGGCTTGACTCGTAGAAAAAATGGAGGACTCGTGGGCTGAGAGAGCATAGCGCAAACTCTCCAGCTTCAATAGCAGCATCCAAACAGGTGCTGGGTACATACAAGGTACTGTAATCTTCGTTACGGATTTCCCCATTGGGCGATCCGCCGTCTCCCATGACGCTTTCTCTTTTGCTCTCTCTCGGGCGAGTGCCAGAGAGAGAGAGAGAGGGAGAAAGAATCCACTCATGACCTTGGCTCTTACACAAAAAAAGCCATCGTCATGACCATCTGACCATCCATGATCATCAAGCTTAATCGCTGGAGCGAACCGGACGAGTGCTAGAGTGAAACCGGCGACACGCGGATAAATCAACGGAAAAGGGGAAGAAGCGAGGCACGGTCGGACCCAGAAGCCTAGTCCACTTTGTAAGTAGTGGGAAAAAGAATACGGCGCCAGAGCCTCTCAAGCTCCGAGCTCGAGCTCCAGCCAGCCTAAGCTCTAGCTCCACTTCCAAATTCGTCGTCTGGCAGATGGCGCGGACTACTACTCTTCGCCAGCCGTTTCGAATCACCGTCAGCCGTGAGGTCCAAGCCCTCGGAAACATAGTCCTCCAATAAAAGCCCACTCTCTCCTCATGTCAGGGAAGGCAGAACATCTGATGAGAGGGGAAAGACAGCGTGGGAGGGCAAAGTCGAGTGAGGAGACCACCTGCGATGGAGGAGGACAGACCGTTGACCAAGACCCCCCAACACGGCGATCCGTCGGTCGCAAGGACCTTCACGTACTGCCTGGATGTAAGTAGGGGTGATTAGTAGGAGTAGCAGTATTAGTAGTATGACTATGAGCGTTTACAGAACAGCTAGTTGTAGTACCTAGTCCTACTACAGGATCATTTGCAGGCGGCCTCTGCCTATTTTGCACGGAGCCTTCCCGGGGTGCCGTGCGCATAAACAGGGAACCAGTCGCCCATGACAAGATCACAGACCTGCCAGATTGGATTCATCTCTGGTCACGGGAAGGGATATAATACCTCCAGTACCTACAGGAGTCACTTCCAAGCCATCCGTGCCTGCTTTGGTGGACAGGTGGATTGGCCGTCCTGGATGGAAGATTCATCTGCAGTGCCTTGAATGTCCGTGCTGGGGGCGCACAGGAGAGGAGATCTGGCCCACTTTTCCCCAGATTGTCAGGGTGAGGGCTTTTCTGGCCTTCCATTCCTGTCGCCGTCTGTAACACGACCAAGGCATGCTCGGAGGGGTATGTCAATCCTCGCTAATTACCGTCCGATCTGCTCTCACGAATAGCTTTCGCAGTATCTTTCAGCAGTCTGGGGAAGAGATCGGACGACTCGAAAGGGGGGCGTCAGACTGGTCAGACGGATCACAATGCAGGGAGGACAAGAGCTCCAAGGCTAGTACCTCAAGGGAAATAGGCCTGTGGTGTCACTGCCCGAGCATCTGGCCATCTCCGCACTTGTCCAACACCGGCTGATGAGACCCAAGAAAATGAGAGAGACAGAGAGCGCAGTGTCCAAGGTCGTCGTAGCGTGGGGTGTGGCGTCCAGCTGAGCCCGAGCCGTGTCATCCCGGCATGCAAGTAATACATAAGACCGACTAGAACGCTACGCCCCGTCATCACCACCGTCATCGGCGTCGCTCTTCCACTGCAGCAGGGCTGTCCGCGAACACATGGTGCATTCAATGCTTCAAACGGGTCCGGTCTGTGAGAGATGAAAGAAGGTCCTGACTTTTCGCCTCTCTCCTTTCGATATGCTAGAGATAGATCGAGTTGCGTAGTTGCTTTTTTTTGGTAGACCGATCGTCTGGTGTGGTTTTGGGGGGCCCCGAAGATTTACACTTGGACAAGCCAATCCTCCCGTTCTTGTTCCACCAAACCATTAGGGGGGCCGGGGGAAAGTTAACTGACTATACGAGAACGAGATTCCCATGATCACGATCAGTCGGTTGCTGGTTCCCACAGCAATACAAGCAGCACCACCAACTCCACTGCCACCACTGCCACCACCTGCACATACCGGTGCGAGGCTGCTCCATAATCTGGACCTGCTTCTCGCTGGCATTGTGTCATCAGGACGGATTCGGGGGTTTCCAGCTGCAGTTCGCAATCAAGGTGACGAACTCTCTCATAGCGACGCGGCCCTGTACCACTGGGGAAGGCTGCCAGTCAATCTGGTTGTATGGAGTCGGCAATAGCCTCACCGGATGGGGCAGATCCTCCACGCAAGCCAGTCGCTAGTTGCTTCGACCATCATTTATTTTTTTTTTTTTTCACTCTAGTCTTACAGGCTGCCGGGCCCCTGGGAGAAGCAGAGAGGGGGGAGGGGAGGACCATCCATTGCATTCTGGACGGGTCTGGGGAATCACCCACACCGGCCGGTCGCCAACCGAAAGGTGTGCCCAGCAGGATCTAGTGGTGAGCGACGAGGATCATCCGTCCGGCGACCTTCCCAGGGTGCACCATCCATGCGTAGGACTAGAAAAGGTTTATTTTCTGGAGGGGGACCCTCCCAGCTGGGGCTGTTCTACTGGGTGTAAAAACAAATATCTCATTCGAGCAGCATCATTTGCTTTTGCGTATCCACCGTGCTGGAGCAGGAGTCAGTGGAAGCTGTAGGAACTGGAACTAGGCACTCGGCACTAAGGAAGGACGACGAAAATCAGGTCGGCGAAGAGAATCGCAGGTTAACCTAGTGAAGTTTAGCATCGCTTTGGCTCGCTTCTTTGGCGTTTTTCTCCGTCTGACGATGGCCCAATCATAATGCAAATGTGCACTGTCTTGGCGTTCCTCGACCCCCCCGCATCCATGTTAGAGTTTAAAAAAAAGCGCAGCCCGGGACGGGATGGATGGATGCCCTACTGATGCTGTCGTTTTTTTTTCCCCTTTACCTCTTATTTTATTTCTCTTGTTTTTTTGTATTTATTTAGTTATTTTGTTTGATTTTCTCGATCATTATCATTTCCAGATCTTTTGGCCCGCTATGTTAGAGAATTCAATAGAAACACAACGCCCTAGATTACTTACGGTAGTAATGGTCGAACTGCCGGTATAGTTGGCTTGTCTGGCACGCTGCGGAATCTCCGAAAAGTGGGCTTGGCTCTGGCGCGCATTGTTGTCATTGTCACGGTTAATTATTGCGATTCTCCCCAGACAGGAAGCATTGATCACAAAGTTTGCCTAGTTTGGATGCCCTCTTGATGGGGTCCACTTCCATGCCTCCAATCACTCCCCGACCGATGAGGAGAAGAGAATGAACCAGAGATGAGCAGGAGGATACTAATGATAATCCTAATGTTGGGAAGTCCCCATCAGCATACATCACGAGAATGTTCCTCCCAAAGGAATTGTTGCTCGGATTTTTCAGGAAATTATAATAGATTTTTTTTTTTTCTTTTTTCACTTTTTTGTGCCTTCATTATTGTTGCGCACGGTAGCTACTGTACTTATGTCGGTAGTAGTAGTAGTAGTGGTCTGACGGGCTCCAGAGGCGTCAGTCAGTCAGTCCATAGCTCAACCATCAGAACTATAGTACTACTAAGAAACCAGTTGGTAGCAAGTAAAATCATGAATTAACCACAAAAAGACGAGGAATCAGAATTATGATTATAATTCTCATAATACTCCGGTGCAGCCCAGAAGTACTACTAAAAATTCTACTAACTTTCTCCTCCTACTTTTATTACTGTTACTGCCCTCTCGACTTGCCCACTTGGGTTGGTTACCTTTCCGTCTTGCCATCCATCCCCCTCCAACCATCCATTCACAGAGAATTACTGTTAATACCTTGCCCCATCCCCATCCCCATCGCCATACCCGTCCATACAATACGGATTGTCAGGAACATTATTCATTCCTATGACTACTGTTCGGAATCCTATTGAATAATAAGAAAGACAAAAAAAAACCAAAATCATTTCTTTGGTTCTACATCCTCTTGCCAGTAAAAATTACCATACTATTCCTTATATTAACTCGCTTCCCCATCCTTCTCTTCTCCCGGATCTTCGAATTCAGCCTCGTTTCAAGAGGAAAGATTTCTGCCTCTAGTGCACTCCCACTCTTCAATCACTGCCCACGGACGATCCACTACTACTCCTACTTCTTACTACCACTACTATTACAGCTATTCTTACACTAACAGCTAACTGATTGACTGATTGAAACCTGCCTATTCCCTATCCACTCACACCACGAAATCCTCCTGCTTAACTACCGACTAATCTCCCCTCGGGTCCAATCCGTGCTTCCACTAAATCACAGCCAAGTCTTGAACTGCTCCCCACTCCAATCATAGTTACTCTATAGGGAGATTCTATTATCCTCAACTCACTTCTTCACCTTCCCCTCCTTAAACAAGACCTCCTCCCCCAGCAACCTCCTTCTTAAACCACCTTCTTCCCTCCCCAATATTGCCGAAGCATTGTCGCCCGTCTACCCCTCTTCCTCGCGCTGGTCCAAACTCCCCAACCTACCAACCTACCAACCAACCAACTCATTTCGCTTCCCGTTCGCCCACCTTCCTTTCCACCTCCTCATCCTCCCACCCCCTCTTTATCGCCCTCCTCTGTCTACCTCGCAATCATAACTCACCTCAACTTGAGGTGTGTATGGGCCAATGTTGTCCATGCAGAAATCTCACTCCTATGTGCTCCCTCCATCCGCTACCTACAATAATGTCACCGGTCTCCCTCATGCCATGCCATCGGCCAACCCGGCAGCTGAGCGTCGCGACTCCACCCGCTCGGTCATGTTGACGGACGTCCCCGCCCTCGGCGACTGCCCATTAGTAGACGACTCGTCACTCTCGCACCGAAACAGCATCAGCACCACCGACGGCATATCTAACGATTCGCCCGCCTCGTGGGATGGCGACGCCCCTTCCGATAATTCTCCCTCTGCCGAGGTCGACGTCAAAATTCAAGACGGCTTACACCATCCATTTCCGACGACCGCAAACACCTCGCCCAAAACTTTCCGATTCAACGTGATCGCATCCCACGGCATAGAGGCGTCCATGGACGAGGTCACGCCCAAGATCGAGGAGATAGATGATGTGGACGAGTTGCAAAGCATAAAACCGGTGGGAGTGGAGACATCGATGGCCCATGCGAGTTCTACCCATCCGGATTCCACGGCTGCTCCCGTCAACGTCCCACGGAAACGTGGACGACCGCGCAAACATCCGCTGCCAGCGCCCGGGAATCAGATCAAAATCACCAAGGGTCGATCCAAGACGGGTTGTATCACCTGTCGTCGGCGGAAGAAGAAATGCGACGAAACCAAGCCAGCGTAAAGCCCCCGACCTCCTTTGACTGGTCCATCCTGTGTCGCAACGGTCGCAGTGGTTAACTTTCTTTCCCTTCCTGCAGGTGTCTCAACTGTCAAAAGAATGCCGTAGTATGCGAGGGCTACCCGCCAAAAGAAATATGGAAGAGTGGCAAGCAGAAGCTTGAGGATGGTAAGTGCACCTTGGACCGTGGCATGCTCGAGCTGCTTTGCTGTGCGTATTTACTACTCCTGGTTGCTTATCCGGCACCTTTGATCCAATCACCTTGACACTTATGTGAACGTTCTGACTCCTTGGTTTCACAGCAGTTCGCACCCAGAACATGGTGGCCCGCTCTCTACCGCTGCTTATCGACGGCATCGAAACCGAGATTGACCGACGCTTCCTCGATCATTTCGTCTATGGCTTTAGTCGCGTCTTGACCCTGATTAACGATGACTCCAACCCGTTCAAGGAGATCTTGCTCCCTATGGCCACTCAGCACCGAGGTTTGATGCACTCGCTCATGTGCCTCTCGGGATCGCACCTGTCGGGTCTTCATCATGATCCGATGTTGGAGGAGCGAAAGTTCTATCACTACCACCGTGCTATCAGGGATCTCAAGGATAATATCACAGCGTCTTCAGGTACTGCTGAGCAGGACCCTGAGCTTCTTATCGAAGATCCCATAATCGCATCCACGATTGCTCTTAGCTTGAACACCATCTGTGAAGGAGAAACTAACGGGGAATACCGACCCCACATGGATGCCGCCCGGTATTTGCTGTCGACGCAGCAGCCGAGGAATGAGAAGTTCCGGCAGTTTATTGTCGAGTTCTTCCAGTACCATGATGTCTCCAACTCCATCACTTCGCTGGATCGCCGCCCCGCCCATCTGCAGGGCGGCTTACGGCTGCCTGACTTTGTGCCACATGCGCAGGCAGGGATGTTCCTTGGAGTGTTTGATGGTCTGTTTAATTATATCTCCGAGGTGACTCGGATTCGAGACCGGATTCGACAGCGGTCCAATGAAGGCTACGAGCCTGCGGTTGACTACCAGATTCTGGGCGACGCCGTCTCCATCGACTCCGCCATCCGGGCTTGGGAGACCTCGTATACGCCCAACACGCCGAATTACTACCTGGCGCAACTATATCGCCAGTCCACCTGGGTCTACCTGTACCGCACCATCCGCCCGTCCCGACCAAGCGAGAAAATTGCACAGGTTGTGGATGACGGACTTTCTTTTCTGGACCAGCTACCTCAGGATGCTGGTGCCTACAGTATTGTGTTGATGCCACTGTTCCTTCTGGGCTGTTCTGCCTTCGTGCCCCGCCAGCGGGAGAGGATTAAGAAGGGCTTTGAGGCCCTCAAGGGCTACTCCAATCTCCGCAACATCGAGCCCGCCTTCAAGGTGGTGGAGCGAGTGTGGGAAGTAATGGACACGAAAATGGAAGAAAGTTGGGACTGGGAGAAAATCATCAGCGACATGAATATGGATTTCTTGATTACCTAGGCTATTTGCCGCTTCGATTTGCATTTTTCATATTTTCTTCTTTTCGGTTCGGTCCGATAGCATGATCCGTCATTCTTACTGGTGACGATCTTTTCGTTGTTCGATGTATGTATTTCTTTCTTCTTTTTCTTTTTTCTTCCTTTTGTCTTCTTTCTTCTTTACCATTCTTTTCTTTTTCTGGTCTACCGAATGGCGAATGGGCAACAGGACCCAAGGGGATCAGCCCCAAAGCGAGACGGACGGACATGGCGTCAGCGGGCATGGATAGGGGCACAGTTCCGTATACCAACATACCAAAAGGGACACTGGCCGGTGGGAATGGTTTTGAGATGTATTTATATATATATGACGGAGTATGCGTCTGATGAGTCGTGATGATATTTCTTCTTTCTTCTTCTCATTCTTGTGATACATGTATAAGATTACTGCTTTGTATATACAGATAGTTAAGATTATTACCCTTTATCAATCCTTACACCAGATTCAACAGTGTACCAGATTCCACATTACCTTTCATCAACCCTAGCAATAGCTACAGCAAACTACCCACACCAGTCAACTACCAACCTCCCAATGAACCCAGCTGAGTACTAGCTACCCAAGGCAACCTTACAGCAGTAATAGGTCCAAATTAACTTCCACTGACACATACCTGTACCTGAATATGTTTGCTTTTGATTTGGTTCCTATTGTTTTTTTCCTTCTCCTTATCATACATCCGACATATTTTCTTTTCTTTTCTTCTTTTTTTTTTTTTTTCCCTTCCCTCCCTTCCCCCCCTGCATTCTGCAACTCATATGTGTATGGTTGTAGATAAGCTCCCGCTAATCTCTTTCCCCTCTCGGGATTTGACTTACTGGTGCTAACTAGTAATATCGGGTTTGGAATTGGTTGGGCATGAATTCGTTGTTAGTACTATGTCCATTTTTTTTTAAAAAGTGAATACTGGATAGAAGGGTATATGAGAACGAACGAATGGATGGGTGGGTAAGCTTGGTGCTTAGTAGGTAGATCACATACCTTGGCTTATTTTAAATACTGATCTACTGAGGTAGATTTGTTTTTTTTGAATGCTAGTAAGGAGCGGAGATGAAAGCCGAGAGAGAGAGAGAGTGTGTGTGTGTGTGTGTTGGGGGGGGCATGGAGATGATGATCGCGATCGTCGTTGATTCTATGATGTGTGTAGAGTGAGATTATAGAGGTGTGTTTGTTTACCGAGAGGATGTTTATCTGATTTACGAAGGTAGATGAATAACCACAGACTAATTTATATTAACGCGTTTATCAAATTCAAGAAGATAAGTCTATTCTATTCAATCTATATCTGTTCTCAGGGGGTAAGGTACCTCCCAGCTGCTGGAGTTTGATTCGGAATGGATTAGTTACGTTGGAAAGTTTGATGTATGCAATGGGAGAGATGGTGTCCTTCATCACTGCATAGTCCCATAATCAAGGCCCGGTTCCTCAGTCGGAATAGGTTGCATAAGTTCCGTTGTTCGAGGGCCAGTGTATCTCCTGTTCATCTAGTCAGTAACCACTCTCTTCTTCCCTCCATAACTCATCAAGAAATAGAAAGATAACTCACCCCCTCGCAGCAACCCACCACCAAACCAGCGCAAACGCAGCGATGAAAATGCCAACACAGATACCGTAGTTCCTAAACACTAATCAGTCTCGTCTGGATACTCTATCAAGGGATATAAACGCACATATTCGACACCGTCACTGGTACCGTCGGCGGAAAGAACAGCACCGAGCTGATAAACATCACCCATATCACCGATACCCAGTTGATGTACGGTCCCCATCGTCCCAGCGTAAATGGCCCTTCGATGAACTTGACCTGCTTTCGGTATAGCTGATGTGCTAGAATTACAGACACGTAGGAGAGGTCCAATGCTGGCGCGGTGATGCTGAAGATCGCGGTGGCCGTGTGGGTCGAGCCGATGGCAATGCAGTTCAGGCAGATGCTGAAGAAGACGACGAACCAGACGGCGTTGACGGGGGTTTGGGTGTATGGGTTTATTTGGGAGAGGAAGCTGGGTGGTTTGTGCTGTTAGTTGGGTTTGCTTGTTTGGATAAGAGGTGGGGTGTAGGGAACGTACGAAGAAAAGGGTAGAGCTTCGTCACGAGCAAATGCGTAGGCCATTCGAGTGTCTGCTAGCATGGCGGAACAGCCGGTGAAGAACTGTACGAGAATTGCTAGTCCCCACATAGCTGAACCACCTAGTTTTCCTCCGGCGTTGAGGAAGATCTGGGCTGCTGGGAGGCCGGTGGGGGTGTTGAGGATGCCTTCGTAGTCGGTGAGACAGAAGCACATTGATATTGTCAGGATCCAGCCCAGTATGCCGGATACTATCACGGCCCATTGGATAGCTAGGGGACCTAGGGCTGCTGCATTGTGGGTTTCTTCGGACATGCTAAGGCTATGTGTGAGCAGATCTGGGTAATGGTAGAGATGTAAGGTAGACGTACTGTGTGGTTCCGTCGTAGTCGGTCATTGTCCATGCAACTGAGATAAAGCCTAGTAGGAATGAGAATACCTTTGATCCCCATCCGGATCCATCTGTGAAGTGGGTGAACACCCAGGTAGCTGGTTGCTTCTCCGGCGTGAACCATAACAGGGAGAAGCAGATACAGAAGGTCGCGGCAACTGACTAGTCAGGTTTTGTCTGACATATGGAAGTGGGTAGCATACTATTTATCGGGGCGAACCAAAGGAAAATCTGGTGCAGAGACTTGGTGGTCATTGAGCAGATCACACCCAATAGGCAAAGCAAAATCACAGACAAGAGCACCGTATCCAATGCAGAACTGTCCCGTTAGCTGAGATAGTCGGCAGACTGCGGGGCGATGACCTACGGTGAGTATGAATACTCCCCATCCACGAGCTCCGAATTCATACTCGCGCACGCAAGTAGCATCTGGCTGACAGTATAGGCGACACTGGACACTCCCGCCGTCTGGCCGAGGAGGTTACACCACCCCTGTACCCAGGAGAATATAGGCACATGCTCATCAGGAACCACATGCTTGGTGACAAAGTACATGCCCCCGGCAGTAGGGTATGCAGAGACCAGCTCTGCCACTGAGCTTCCGATACACAAGGCCATGCAGGAGCCCACGAACCAACACCATACTGCAGTTGCTGGGCCTCCTGCAGCCAAGGGAGCGCCGAAAGTGGCGGGCACTGAGCCTAGTATGCCTAGGATGGAGATGGCATAAGAGACGGTCGACCATTTTGAGAATTCACGTTTCAATTCCTGAACTGACTGTCAGGCACCAGATTGGGGGTGGGGGATACAGGCGCTTGGGCCATACCTGTTTGTAGCCAATGCGGGCTAAAAGAAGCTCGTCATTGTCGTGGATGGTGGCCATCGCACTGGAAGCGTGGATATGGTCTCCCGCTAGAGATAAATGAAGCAACGAGAACGAGTGGGTGGGTTCGAATGCGATAAGCAGGATGGTTCTGTAGTTTTCCGACCAGTGATCGTCGGGGATCAGTCGATGCGGAACTTCACCCGCTCAGTTGCCGATCAAGAGTCGGTGAGAACCCCGCGAGGATCACCACAAGCACTGGCGATGATTTTGGGTGATTCGGAGGGTTCACAATGAGATGGAGAGATCAGTAGACATCCAACATAGTGATCATGAAATTGGACGAAGTTCCATCACTAGTCGAAAGGAACTAGAAATTTAGCAGAAGTGGCTGGGAGGGGGGGGCAGATGCAATGAGATGCATTCTTATCGGGGCCGAACTGATAAATTCCCAGCAAGGGCATCCCTACCTCTAATCTGAGGATAACTTGTCTCAAATATAATTTCATTCATGGCATCTCGATCGGAAGAAATCTAAGTTTATTGTTCTCGGGCTCCGACCAGGCCATGTCAAGGTCCCTGCGCATCGACCCAGTTGCTTATAGGAAAGAAGTCAAACCACCATGACTAGGGACTATTGGATGCACAACAGTTTGCTGCACAAAGGCTCAGCTCTCGGGTACTTGAACGGAATGCTACGCTAATATTCTGATGTATGATTGAAGTGATAGCTCTTTGGGTTCGGAATGGCTGAAGCTGCTGGCTGCAGCAGGTGGACGAATTATCAGAACACACTGGGTGTACATAAACAGTCAATAAATCCAATGCGGTGCAGTGTCTGTGAACACATACCCACAAAGGCTGGCTTGTGTCTTCGCAGGAATACAAATCTCTACGAAATGATGATAACTTCCATATACCAGGGTGCACCATATGCCTCTAATCGAGAAAGGATGACCCAAACACTGCAGCAAGAGGAATGCCAATTGCTATAAGCTATAAGCATTATGACACAATATGCTCCCAGACCTTTTCGTAATCACTCAATTAGAAAGGACCCAACTGGCCATTCTTCTCGGATAACTTCCCAATATGCAGCATCCTCCAATCGTCTTGTCGATATTCTCTCGACAGATACAGCGTGGCTGGGCTCATCAGACCAGCAATCTTCTATCTCAGGCTGAAGTCGCAGCAGTCCAACCCTACGATAGCGATGCAGTCCCCCACTATTGGCTTCGGTTCTTGTGTGTGGCTGTAAAATGAGAAGATAGAGTCGTGGCCTGAGAACTCCAGTCACTTTTGCAACCTGGATCAGTGTGAACTCCACGCTGCTGCTCGGAAAGATGACAGAGCTGCTGGTTTCCGTTGATTTGAGGTGTTCAGGCCTCATCAGAGCAATCTGTGTTAGCTCCCTCGTACTTTCTAACGGACCAAGTTGCGTAAATTTTGTGCTAAACTCACGGGTTCCCATCTAAATTTCGAATAGCTGCCGGGTCTAAGACAGACGTGCCGATACGGTGCTTCCAGGACAAGCTCCGCGCCTTCTACGTGACCAAAAATGTCGTGAGACTTGCGGTAAACCTGGCAATGGACAACCCTTGCAAGGTAGGTCATAAAGGAACGAGCGCCTGGCGAGGGCCACTTCAAACTGATATATGCGTGGGCTCCTATCCAGCTCCACGACGGCCCGCGCTCGATTGAAGGAACACTCGTCGGAGCAGGTCTTCCTGAACCTTGACAATGGCGAATGCTCCATAGCAAGCCAAATAGGAGGTCACCCCTCCACAATCCCGCGCAGTACTGTTCTTTCAAGTGAGCATGGAACGACTCGGCCAATGCCCCGATCGCCGGCAGGCGATCCTTTTCAAATGTGAGATTTCGTGCTGCATAATCTTCTAGCAGCTTAAACCAGGTTTTGTAAGCTGATCGCGTGGAACCTGGTGTGTGTTTGTCATCTGGCTCATCTGGAATAAACAACTGTGGTTCCGGAAACTCGGTGTCATATCCATTGACGTCTCTCGCTGGTTCTCTAGCCCTTCCAGCGCGGCATCTCCAAACCATCTCTTCTTTCGTGTAATACAAGAGTCTTCTCGACAGTAGCTCCTCTTGGAGTGTCCAGCCTCTGGTAGCCCAGCGCGAATGCCGTAACGGCTCGCGGTGAAAAGGACGCCTATAACTCCGAAAGACGACAGGGTCAGCGCGAGAATCGTCATTGACGCTACCGCTACCTTGGTAGTATCGTCGACGCCAAGGAAAAGTGCAGCTAAAGTACGGTGCCCTCTTATCGAGAAACCCGTCGTTGGCTGATTCTGCGCTTGTAGCGGCAATTGTGACAGCTGCATGCCTATAGACGCTGCTCATCTTCGAAGCCTCGGCTTCCCAGTCACTAGAATCATCTTGAAAGATACATAGAGAGTCGATCCATAAGTAACGTACCCCAAGGGCTCTTGTCACAAGGACGGCGTCCCGTAGAGTAGATGGGAAAAGCTTTAAAGACCGTCCTCTGCGGAGGCCGTCGAAAGAAAAGACGAGGCGTTGAGAGTAAATCTGGAATCACCGCCCCAACAATAGCTCAGAGCCACCCATCTCCCAGTTTCGCCGACACTACTGACATGTAAATGCGGCCTTTTGAGCGAGCTTCCGACGTCAATAACACTTGTAGGGAAAAAAGGCGGTTTGTCTTCGCGCTTATCACACTCTTTATGTCCCTTGTAGCATTTACGTAGCCATTCGGCTGCTAGTGAGAGACACCTCTCAGAGCGCAGATCAAAGGGCAATTTATTCCGAGGGAGACCTTCAAGGAGAGGTGTGTCCTCAGCTGGGATCTCTGCATCTTGTTGACGTTAACTTTGGACTCAAAGCCATCGAACTTGGGAACCTATCTCTTTGCAATACGTATTTCGAACTCTGCGATCATTCGATCTCGTCTGCGAACCAAAGCCGGGATCGCTGACTTTTGATGATCAGGAAGTAATCAGATTTAACCCGACCTTTGTGGATGACAAAATATAGCGGCCCTTTGTATACCTTACACGCGCATGCATACGTTTCATGGCATGCAGGTAATCTCTTATGGGATACTTTGCTGTACGATTGTTGAGACCGGAAGTGGCAATGATGTGCCCAAATCGTCCTGCAAAACTTACATCCGGTTCTCGCGGCATCTTGAAGAGCGTGAATGCTAGAATGGTGAGGCTGGATTTTCGTGGAAGAGACTTGATGCAGAATCTCATGGGTGGCAGCTTTTGAATTGTGGTAAGATTGCAAGAGGTCTCGGATGTCGATGTTCTGACGGGGACCGCATAACTCCATCTTCATTCAGGAAATTCACGATGAGGTCCTCATTGAATTCTATTACAACATTGTACGGATGTCTGGTTTGAAACACTCATCGTGTCAAAGAACGGGTCTTTCTGAGGGATGTCACCGGATAAATATTCCAACATAAAAAGCAATAATGGTTAACAATGAAGAGTTGGGCAGATACAACACACAGTGCGGGGTAAATAATTTCTACTGTTCGCATCAAACCTTTTTGACCGATCCTTCCCACCAATCAAAGGAACCTACCCTCTCAGCAGAATATGTGGGATACTATAGAGGCCTTGATATGCAGAACCTATGAGAAGAATAAAGGTAAATAGTGTAACTTCATAGTGGACTGTACCTGAGTCCGGGTATCGAGATAGACCATCAGTGCCAGAGACATGGCCGCTGAATAAGCAGGCGCTAGGCCGAGAGGGGGAAGCGGCCAAGGCCACGGGTTCTCCTCCGACGAGGAAGTGTTTAGGTGGTCAGTTGCGATTAATTGCTATACTTCCCCTTTTCTTGGTGCAAACCCTTCCCGGCTGTCGTCTTGCAGCATTCAGTGATGGTCCGTGGCTGACAGGGTTTCTCTTCGCCGGTGATCGATCCCTCTGTCCCCTCGTCCACATTCGTTGATCTGCTTCCCCCGCGTTATGAAGCACTATGTCCGACCCCAACATGTATCATACCTACGGCCAGGCTCCGGTGCCTGGTGAAAACCCCTCCGATCCCAATCAAATGGCATATCAGGTGCCTCCGCAAGGCTATCCTGCTGCTGGAATCCCTCCCGGCCCTTCGCCTCCTCAGCCCGGTGCTGCGTACGGAGTCCCTGCCCCTAATCAACAATGGCCCGCCTATGGCTCTCCTCCGCCAGCACAGCAGCCTCTGCAACAACCACCGTCACAATTCTCCTACCAGGCCGATCCGCAAGCTGCGGCGGGTGCCCCCATGGACCCCGGAATGGCCGGGCTAGCGTCCCAGATGAGTGGATTGGGAATAATGGGAGGGGAAGGAGGAGCGGCCCGGTCGAGCAAGAAGAAGCATCGGCATGCGCACCACGAGATCGCTGGTGCTTCGGCATCAGTCGCGCAACCGTTCGCGGCTGCCCCCCAGGATCCCACGCAGCCAACCTCCCAGTTCCTCAACACCGGCTTGAACCAAGCACCTCGTCCCATTTCGCCCGCCGCGAGCATTCCCGCCCCCGTGAACCCAGCGTTTGGAGGTGGTGCCGGTGCAGTTCCGACGCAGGGAAAGGTCGATCCGGAGCAGATTCCCAGCATTCCCCGGTCTCGCGATATACCTGCACAATACTACTTCAACCATGTGTACCCGACGATGGAGCGGCATCTTCCTCCTCCGGCGGCGGTTCCGTTCGTCGCTCACGACCAGGGCAATTCGTCCCCCAAGTACGCTCGTCTCACCTTGAACAACATCCCATCCACCTCCGACTTCCTCTCCTCGACGGGCCTTCCTCTGGGCATGGTATTGCAGCCGTTGGCGCCCCTAGACGGCGAGCAGCCGATTCCGGTGCTGGACTTTGGCGACGCCGGGCCGCCGCGGTGCCGCCGGTGCAGAGCGTATATCAATCCCTTCATGTCGTTCCGCTCCGGCGGAAACAAATTCGTTTGTAACATGTGCACATTCCCCAACGATGTGCCGCCAGAATACTTTGCCCCGCTGGACCCGTCCGGCTCGCGCATCGACCGCATGCAGCGTCCGGAGCTGATGATGGGAACCGTGGAGTTCTTGGTGCCGAAGGATTACTGGAATAAGGAGCCTGTTGGTCTTCAGTGGCTGTTCTTGATTGATGTGAGCCAGGAATCAGTGAACAAGGGTTTCCTGAAGGGCGTGTGCAAGGGTATTATGGAAGCGTTGTACAGCGAGGAGACGGAGAATCCCGAGGATGAGGCCCCCTCAAGGCGGATACCTGAAGGAGCCAAGGTTGGCATTGTCACTTATGACAAGGAGGTGCACTTCTACAACCTTAATGTAGGTTCTCGAATTACCCCCTGTCGCTACTAAGCTTACAGTTCCAGGCACAACTCGACCAGGCACAGATGATGGTGATGACCGATCTGGAGGAGCCGTTCGTCCCGCTTAGTGAGGGACTGTTTGTTGACCCCTACGAGTCCAAGTGCGTCTCTTACACGATCGTGGCTGAACCATGCAACTAACAAGTCTAGGGACGTCATCACCTCTTTGCTGCAGCGCATCCCGACCATCTTCTCTCATGTCAAGAACCCACAGCCAGCCTTGCTGCCCGCCCTCAACGCGGCATTGTCTGCCTTGAGACCAACTGGCGGTAAGATCGTGGGCACGATCGCTAGCCTGCCCACTTGGGGTCCTGGTGCGCTGTCCCTACGGGACGACCCCAAAGTCCACGGCACCGATGCGGAGAGGAAGCTGTTCACGACCGAGCATGCAGGATGGCGTGAGACGGCCGGGCATCTGGCCGAAGCTGGAATCGGACTGGACATGTTTATCGCAGCACCGAGCGGAACATACATGGATGTTGCTACGATTGGTGAGTTGACACGTGCTACCCCTGCCTGACTACGCTAACGTTGGCAGGCCACGTCCCTGAGGTAACCGGCGGTGAGACCTTTTTCTACCCGAACTTCCACGCACCTCGCGATATTCGCAAGCTCTCGAAGGAATTGGCACATGCTATCACGCGCGAGACGGGCTACCAGGCCCTGATGAAGGTCCGTTGTTCGAACGGGCTGCAGGTGTCAGGCTATCATGGCAACTTTGTCCAACATACATTCGGAGCCGATCTCGAAATCGGAGCCATCGACGCCGACAAGGCTATCGGAGTGGTGTTCAGCTACGATGGAAAGCTCGACCCGAAGCTGGATGCCCACTTCCAGGCAGCCTTGCTGTATACTTCGGCTAATGGCCAGCGTCGAGTGCGGTGCATCAACACCGTGGCTGCAGTGAATGAGGGTGGCATGGAGACGATGAAGTTTGTGGATCAAGACGCAGTGGTCGCTATGGTGGCCAAGGATGGTATGTTTGCTCTGTCGGCAGGAGTGACAAAGTGCTAATGAAAATTACAGCGGCCTCCAAGACCCTAGACAAGTCCCTCAAGGACATCCGGGCTAGTGTTTCTGAAAAGACGGTGGACATTTTCAGCGGATACCGGAAGATCTTCTCCGGATCTCATCCTCCCGGACAATTGGTGTTGCCAGAGAACCTGAAAGAGTTCTCGATGTACATGCTCAGCCTGATCAAGTCGCGGGCTATCAAAGGTAAGACCGCTCAATTCCCTTTTCGCTCACCGTCAATCGGAGGAACACGGGTGTCTGACAGCATGCAGGCGGACAAGAGGCGTCGGACCGACGCATCCACGACATGCGGATGCTGCGGTCCATCGGGTGCACGGAGCTGTCACTGTACCTGTACCCCCGCATTATTCCGATCCACAACATGCAGCCGACCGACGGATTCCCCAACGAACAGGGACAACTGCAAGTGCCCCCCTCGCTGCGGGCCAGCTTCTCCAAAATTGAGGAAGGCGGGGCGTACCTGGTGGACAACGGGCAGCAGTGCCTGTTGTGGCTGCACTCACATGTGTCGCCCAACCTCCTGGAGGACCTGTTCGGCGAGGGCCAGACGTCGCTGCAGGGGTTGAGTCCACAGACCTCGACGATCCCAGTGCTGGAGACGCATTTGAACGCGCAGGTGCGCAATTTACTGCAGTACTTCTCAACGATCCGGGGATCCAAGGCCGTGACGATCCAGCTGGCGCGGCAGGGTCTAGACGGGGCGGAGTACGAGTTTGCGCGGATGCTGGTAGAGGACCGCAACAACGAGGCGCAGAGCTCAGTAGACTGGCTGGTACACATTCACCGGCAAATCAACCTAGAGCTGGCGGGGCATCGCAAACGCGAGGATACAGCGGGGGAGGGGGGATTGACGAGTTTAGCGGGTCTCCGAGCGCCATATTGGTAGGATAGAAAGAGGGGGGGGGGTTGGAATACAGGGTACAGGAAAACATTTCTACACATATTTTGGTTCAAGAGAAAGAATTTGGAAGAGAGGGGGGATTGTTCCAGAAGCGGCAGTGACTTGCAATATACCACGGTTGAGAAGAGCGTTGACAGAAAGGGTTCAGTTCCGTTCAGTTTGGATTCTTGGGATCCTTTTCAGGGTCTTTTTTTCTTTCACACGATCAGACAATGCCCAGCAAGCAGCAGTAGCAGTAAGCAGTACGCAGTGACAGTAGTCAATAGAAAAAGGCAGGTATGGCGTAATAGTAGTGAGGTGTATGCGCAAGTGTCTGTGCCACCACAATCACACCATGTAGAGAAACAAAAGACGTCCAGTAGAGAGGCAACACCTTCCCAAAGAGGATAGGCACACGAGAAACCCAAGAAGAGGGGGTGGGCAATGGCAATGAGGGGGGTAAAGATTCTTAGTTAGCAGGAGGGGGAAGAAAGAAAGAGAAGACCACAAAATCTAGATGGCACAAACGTTCTAGACTTTTCCATCCACCCAAACCGAAGACTTTTTCTCTACAATGAAGAGGGAAGAAAATCGGGAAAATGTAGAATAAGGTCGGACTAGGTTCGGAGACTAGAATTAGTTAGTAGTAGTTAGTGGGTGGGTGGGTGAGTGGTGGTGGCCTAAGCACAGCACTTCTCGTCCGATGAACAGTTGTGTATGTGTCAGGTGAGTTGAACTTGAGATTGCGTAGGCATTGTCGTTGGTGGATTCAACACCACATGGATAATGGATTGATTACCCAGAGGGTTTTCTCGGACGAGCAGCGAGCGAAAAAAGAACAGGCAAGGCAGGACAGACGAGCAAGACGAAGAATTCCGATCCGTGGATTGGTTGGGGGTGGGTGGGTGGAAGAAAACGGTGCGTTCTTTTTCATCTATTCGCCCCATTGTCATTGCCATTGGACTGGGGATTGAGTGGAAGTTCTTTGATCCACACCAGTCAGATTAGTCAGTCAGAATTGACTGGTTCCGAGAGAGAGTCTGGAACGGTGCAGGGCT